AGAATTACATTTAAAATAAATCACAGACTTAATCTTCTTAAAACAAACATAAAATATTTATTTCTTCTCTTCCAGATCAATGTAACGGATACTTTTTTATTTCATTACTAATGCAGACTTATATATTCACTGTCGCCTTTAATCGAAAACAAAAATCTATTTATAACTTTTTATTCTAAATTTCCAACGGCTAAATGTTTCGGTTGCATGGTTGTAATAATTCTCATAAATTTGTTGGCGACTCGTGATCGCCAAGGTATTATTTTAAACCCAATATTGATAGGCTGGTTGGCTTTGTTTTGGCTATGTAATATTTTAATAGACCGCCAATTTTGGATCTCCTACCCATGCTTCTCCTGTGTCTGATCGGAACAAATTACATGTACTTTTTAATTTGGCTTTTGATTAGGCAGGTCGTGGGGATTTGTCTCCCATGGCCTGACCTATTTTAATTATTACTATGCAAAACTGATTCAACTAAAATTTATGGATAATATTTAGTTTTGTATCTCGAGCTCTACAAATACTATACATAAAATAAAAGCCTTTTTTTATTAATTCTAATCCGGCTCAACTATTATATTCATCATCTTCTGTTTTCATTACTATCTTCAACTGGCCCACTATACGAATACAAACCTCCAACCTCACCTGCCTATCATCATCACCAATATATAAATGGCACCCTTGGCTTTTCCTGTCTTCTAAAAATAAATGGCACCCTGAATCTTATTTCTTCATAATTACAATCAGTATTAATTTTAAATTATTATTCAAATCCATATTTTCTGGAACAAAGTTGTTTATATATATATGGTTATAAATTATTTATTTTATAATTGATATCTTTTAAGTGTGCTATGGTTTTGATATCACATTGAATCTGCTGTTATAATTCACAACAAAGAAAAAAAAAATCAGTTAAGCAAAAACATAGATTTCAGTTTTAAAAATATCATGCATGTAAAAATATTATTAATTAAAGAGCTTGGGAAAGTAAAGTAATAATAAATATAAAAACTTAGTTTTGCAATACCCTATATATGAATAAAATAAAATCAACAACAATACATTGCCAAATCTTACTTGTGATCCAAGCTTGAGTTCAGCTAACTTCATTAATTCAAGTTCTTCTCTTTCTCTCTTCTCAGCAAGATACCTTTCTTCTCTTTCAATTTCTTTTATTCGTAAAGCTTCTTTTTGACGTTCTATCTCTAAGATTTTCTCTTGTTCTTTCTCAATTAGTTTTCTCTGTAAATAAAATTGAACAGATATGTATATATGCATATAAAAATATTACTTATAACTAGAGATTTACATTTTTTAATTGAATTCATGTACAAAGTTTATCTGAGTACCACCAAATGTATATTTCTTTAGAAATTATTTAAGGACTAATTATTTTTTAAATGAAATATAACCAAATCTCGATGACTTGCATATTCTCAAAGCACAAGTGTATTTTTCATCTAATGGTAACAATTTGTTACGATATGGCGTAGATTCGCCAATAAATGATAGTTTAGGTAGCACCTGCTCTTGAGTAAAAAATAAATAATATGAAGTGTTTTATTAAAAAGTTATGCAATTTTTTTTAATGGGTTTTTGATTAAAAAAAAGGGGGTAAAACGTTTAAATACAAAAAATCTGGCAAAAACAGCAAAATATAAATTAGCATAGCTATAAATGTGAAGCCAGATAAGAAGATTTTACATAGCAGAATTAAGAGGAAAAGTCTATAACTTAATTTCATGACAACAAAACAAATAGTTAGAAAATGCTGTTGAAATACCTTTTCTTCTTTCAACGCTTCTTCCCTTTTTCGCTTTTCCTCTAGTTTCTTTTCTTGTTCTTGCCTGTGTTGCTCTTCTTTCTTTCGAAGCTCTTCCATTTGTCTCTGTTCTTCTTGTTTTCGCAATTCTTCTAACCTTCTCTGTTCTTGTTTTCGGAGCTCCTCTTGCTTTCTTAGTTCTTCTTGCTTTCTCAATTCTTCTAGTCTTCGCAACTCTTCTTGCTTTCGGAGCTCTTCCTGTTTTCTTAATTCTTCTTGTCTCTTCAATTCTTCGAGTCTTTTAAGTTCTTCTTGCCGTTTTTTCTCTTCAAGTATTCTAAGCTCTTCCTGTCTCCTCCGTTCTTCTTCTTGATGACGCTTTAATTCTTCTAATCTTCTTTTTTCTTCTTCCTGAAAAATTTATTCACAACAAATTAATTTATTATCAAATAAAGATAATATTCCTCCCGTTTTGAACGACAGTATTTATTTTTTTTAAAGGATACTGTCCCTTAATGCCATATTATCTTCACTTGAAGTCATAATTACTTTTTACATTAAACTAAAGAATCTTCTAATGGGTCATTCCATGAATAGTGAGAACAAAATATAAGAAAAAAGTTTCTTTTTTTCTGATACTAAGCCCTGAAACATTTAAAAATTCAAATAAATTTTTCAAGTAGTTTTTAAAGAAATTTGTTTCTGTTGAATGGCAACAGTGGGACAAACATGGCTGTTCTGGGAGACTCAGGATATGTAGCTGGAATTGTTTTTTTAGGATCAACTTTAGACCATGTACCTTCCTTTTTGACCATTACACTTAGACCAATTTACTAACTACAGGGACAGCAGACAAAATTCTCAGAAAATAGTAAAGAAAATAGGAGGATTTTTTAAAAACATTGAGTGTTGAAAAACAAATACAAAATTAACTTTAAAGTAACTAAATAAATTCAACAGAATAGAGTATTTTATAGAATAGTGTATAATTTTTTTTAAATAACATACAAGAATTTTTTAAATATCAATGTTTTAAAATAAAACCTAGAGAGGTTAAAAGCTTTGTTTGCAGAAATTGTATAACATAATCACTATCAACAGAAAAGAGTTTACATAAATAAAGTACACAAAAGAAAAAAATATTCAGTATATAACTATTAAATTTAGTTTCTTAAAATAGTTTACAAATAACTTAAGGGAGTCATTCTAAATCTTTATAAATGCTATTTTCGTTGTTAAAATAGGTATATCTACATTTTTGAGAAGATAGTTTAAAAATTAGGGAAATACTCCCAAAAATTATTTTAATTGGAAATTATGCTGCCATAAATTAGTAACCCAAGTACTTAAATATTGATATTTTTTACCTGCTTTTGCAGCTCCTGGAGAAGTTTTGCTTCCTCTTGTTTACGTTTGATTTCTTCTTGGCGTCTTTTTTCTTCAAGCTCTTGTTCCAGTCTAAGCTCTTCAGCTTTTTTCAATTTTTCTTGTTCTTCAGTCATCTTCTGTAAAAAAGTAGTGTGAATTGTAACATAAGAAAAAATACCACATATACTGAATAAAGGCATCCATTTTAGTTGATTTATTAAAATAGCAACAAAAAGAAGAAAGAAAAAAAAACAACATTTCTATCTTCAACTTTAGCTTGAAAAAAAGTAAGATCACTAGACTGGGTAATAGTGAAATAGTTATTGTTTACGAAAAAATTACAATAGCAATTCCGCTTTAGTAGCGTAATTTTTAATAAACAATGAAAATTGTCTAGTTAAAGGTTGGAAAAATGAAGAAAGGAAACAATTCCAAATGTTTACAGTTATTCTCAAAAAAGAAAAAAATGTTTTGAAGATGTTTACATAAAAAAAAAAAAAAAAACTTATAATAATATAGAATATTTTTCTCAAAATTCATTTAATATTTCAAAGCAATAAATCAGAAAAATCAAATTTGCACAGTTATATCAAGACCAATTCTCATTACAAACAGAGCTGTTTATTAATTTTACATGGTTAGTGATGCATTTTACTTTTTAAACCCCACAAAGGCACAAAATAGTATGATTTTGTGATAAATCAAACAATTTAAATGCCATTTAAGGCAGACTTGCACCTTTTAAGTACTTTTTAAGCACTTAAAAGATATTTTTATGCACAAAATGCAAAATAATTTTCAAAGACTTTACATGATCATAATAAAATAACTAGTTTCTGACAATTAACTCTTTTCTTGATTATATTAGTAATTATAAAATGATCCAAGAGATTTTTCGGTTCAATATCAGAGGGCGGAAAATGAAGCCTGAAATTGAGAATATCTTGCAAAATGCAGCACAGTTGCACATGAGAGTGCAACTATCTCACCGACCCCCGCTCAGTCAACGAACATGCGGACTCGCAAGTATGTCATCAAACATGTAAAATGATAGGGGCTTTCACACGCTATGGATCGACGGTACGCCGAAATAGATTGTGCAGTTGAATTAAATGTGATAACGTTGTATAGAACAATGTGAAAAGCACGCTTTTGCAGAATAGGAGGTGAAAATAGACATGGTAAAGAAAAATACCTCATTTTTGAAGAGGGAAAATTAGGTACTTTTTAAAAACATCCAATGAAAAAAAGCACATTTAAGGGCTTTTAAAAAAAGAAAATCAAAAATAAGCACTTTTTAAAAATGCTACGCACCATGATATAACCTGCAAAACAGTTTTTAAAAAAAATTGAGTTTATTCTTTTTTTTTCTTTAATATTTTCATGAAGCATTCACTATCTTATTTTTAATTATATCTTATATTTTGTTTAGGAATTAGTATCTTTTGAATCTAGGCTTTGCAATCGAAAGTTACAAGCAAACGCTGATTATCATTATTCATTTAATTAGTTCTCACAAACCTTTCCAGATTCAGAATCTTCAGACTTAGATTTTAAAAGATCCATATCCCAAATGCTAGCACCTGTTGGTTGAGGATTACTCATATTCATTGGCCAGGCTCCTAAATAGAGGGGAAAAAAATCCACAATTTTAAATACACTTGAATGTGGTTTTTGCTTCTCTGAAACAAATTTAATAATTATAAAATAAGACTCCACGTTTTCAATTAATTTATAATTTTTCTGATCAAGATCTTATGCTATTCTATTACTAAATTTGCATTATGTATAAAATTTTTTAGTCGTAAAATCATTCAAATTTTTATGGGAGAATTCATTGCAAATAAGGAGTATTACCTACAAATTGAGCGATGATCGAAACCAAAGAATATAGAAAGGCTGAAAAAGTCCAGTCCTCCAGTAACTAACATGGAGAACTGCTTAGTATGAGATGCAATTACAAAAACAGAATTATTAAAGGAGAGCAACATATTCAGATTTAGTAGAGCATCATATGTACCAAGATTCAGCGAATGTGCATATGAAGCAAAGCTACAGAGATTAGGAGCTATATCACCTGAACCGATTATTAGCTGGGCACTCTCACCAACTGCCATTTTATTCTTTCTATGCTAGAAGACGTAATTAACACGGAAAATTGCAAGCATATGAACGAATGTGCATATGAAGCAAAGCTACAGAGATTAGGAGCTATATCACCTGAACCGATTATTAGCTGGGCACTCTCACCAACTGCCATTTTATTCTTTCTATGCTAGAAGACGTAATTAACACGGAAAATATAAATGCATTTTCAAAGAAATATTTCAATAAATAGTACAGTATTGTTAATAAACAGTGTAAAAATTCAACAGCAGATCAACCATAGATAAAAAGAGAAAACGTTCCATCTCGTTCCAAACCCTAGCAGTAGGAAGGAGAGGTGGGTACAAACACATTTCAAGAAGAATAAACTCTTCTGTGCCCCTAAATGTTGCTTTTTTCTTTTACATACAGATTTTACCAACCCTTGGGGGACCGGTTTACTTTATGTCTATTGAAGCTAGCCTTCTTCCTTTACATTTGCTGCCAACCACTTTAATTAAAAAATACATACTCAAATGAATTTTGTTCAAGCACAAACATCTTTACACATAAATATGCAAATTATTAACCTGTAGGGGAAAAACAACATTATGTCTAAACCGACATTTTTATTTTAGGTGTAAATGTAAAAATTAAAAGCGTTATTAACAAAGAAGTATTTAACCCAAATATTCATTGATAAATTTGATTTGCATTCTTATTGGTTGTTTTGCCCGAATAAGTATCAGAGTAAATGAAGTGCATTGTTATTAGCAAAGATATATTATCGGAAGTGCTAAGAATGATTGGCAAGGATATGCCCTTCACTCTGCTTTTTTTCGTACATGAACAGCAACCAATGTACAATTTTTTATTATTATTACTATTTTTTTTTATGTATCAAAGTTTAAAAAATACACAGTAACCAGGACAAACTATTTTAAGTAAAAATAACTAGGGGAATATAAAAAAGCTAACTTTCTTCTTAATGAATTTTATCATAAAACTTAGTAACATTTAGGTTTTATGAAATCAAATTCATTTTCTAATTTTCTCTCTCAGTTGGTACTGCTTTTTCAAAATCTGAGAGTGTGTGTTTCATCTGTACTTTATTGTATTTTTGATTAAATATTTACTTGCCCAGCCACCATGTATAGGTTAAAAATACATACCTTATTTGAATTTAAAAAATGAAATTTTTTTTTTTTTACATGGATGATAGAAAGTTTCCATTATATAAACATAATTTTCTATATATAAAAAAAGAAGATAGTAATTAAAATTGTTAGCAGTGAGAAAGACATGGGACCAATTTTCTTGTAGAATAAATTATTTTTCACTTTTTATTTATTATTATTTTGTACAATAAATTATTATTCACTTTTTATTTATTTTTTTTACTGAAACACAGGAAAAAATAAAATATTCTTTAGAAAAACTTTCTTGAACATTATCAAATTTAAAGAAATTTTCTAATGTTTCAATACATGCAATTGTACTTAAATTTTTTAAAATAGTAACGACAAAAAAAGGATTAGTTTATTTGATATGGAGATTGTAAGAACACTGTCCAACTTAAAAATCATTGATCTAATTTCTTTTCAATAAATATGATGTAAGATGCTACCTATGTTTTTATTAAAAAGGCTTTTTGAACTAACATCATATCCAAATTAGGCAAAGAAAAACAAATTATTTCTAAACAGAAAAATTTGTACAAAAATTAAACAAGCAGTTTCTTTTTAATATTTAATAATTTTCTGCTTATATCATCTCAATATAGATCATCTTAGATACATTCTTAATATATTCATTTATTCTATCTATAAGTAATTAACACTCATCCTTACACATATGAGTGTTAACTACTTTCAGATACTAATATATCAATCTAAATGGCTAACTTATTCTGCAAATAATTTTTTTTTACTCTGCATTATTTAAAACAGAGTAAAAATAAATTTTAATACAATATTTAAAATAATATACTTTTTAATAAAAGCTTTAATAATAAAGATCTGATAAACATACCAGAACCAGCTGTATTCCACAGGTTCATGTCGCTCATCATGGGTGGCATAGACATACCAAGCATTGGAAGAGGGAGTGTTGATAAAGGATCTAACATGGGTGGCTGATCAGCCAAGGGATTGACATTTGGCCTAAAATGAGTAATAAGGTTTTAGTAATTGATGAAAACTGGTGTTTTTCTTATTAAGAGAAAATTTTATAGCACTTTTTAAAAAAAAAAATATATAACTCTGTACAGGAGATAAAACAAAGATTTTTTTGATAATCAATTCAGAGTTCTCAGAAAAATGATATAAAAGTTAGACTCATTAACATAAGCTAGATGAAACACATGATTCCAATAAAATAACAGCGTAATTAATTTCCTAAAGCACTTTTACCTGTTGCTTTTCCTGCCAAAAAACCAGTTTTTTCCATTTCTTATCCAATAGGTAAGTGTTTGTTATTCAAAAGACTACCGTGTTTTAAGTTTTCAATAACAGAAAATACACGCATTTTTTTGTTTTGAAAATTGTTCTAACCAATCATACATACAAAAGCTGTATGAAACACATTATTCTCCTTATTTGGCTGAACATTGCAGCTAAAAGAACATAATAATGTTCTTTTATCTTAGTAAATAAATAACAGATAAAAGAACATAATAATGTTCTTTAAACTGTTATTTATTTACAAAGTTTAGTGTTGAACCGTGGGCGTTCAAGAGCCTTTCAATGAGGTGAACCAGGTTCAAATCTCAGCGATGGCAGGTTGATACGAATTCTGCACCCAGCTAGCACTGACCACAGTGCTAAAATATACTTAGTGCTAGATGGATCTTTGGTCAGAGTCCCCTTGCCATCAGGCTAACCATGGGAGCTTTCGTAGTTTTCCTCTCCATGTAGGGAAGAGTCGGGTAGCCCCGCCCACTTAAGGAGTATTGCTTATATTTCTGTATAATATTGAGTAATAATCAATATTTATGTATGTTTCTATTGTTTTATCATCTAATTAAATAATGCAAGAAGAATAAACCAAAAAAAGAATAGTTAAACTTAAAAAAATAGAAATTTAAAAAATTTGACTACTGTATTCAACATATTTTCAAAACTGTTGTTTACCATGTTACCAGCTGCATAAATACTTGAAACTTTGAAAATAATCTATTTTTAATATAACAATTAATGTCCGATGGCCCATTGACTTGAAAAAATATTCTATACATATGAAATTGACAGTGGGCGGGGGTACCAGACACTCTCCTAATACAAGTGTGGGTTAGTTTTACTAAAAACTCCCCCGCAAAGGCTACTTTGTTCCAATGCGTGATCCAGGAATTTCCTTATCACCTGGATTTGATTCAAAATTATAAGGCTACAGAGTTGAACATTAGTAGTCATAAGCCCCAAAAATGTGTGGGCAGTTCAACGACTGTTATAAAATAAAATTATACACAACTTGCCATAATGTTAAACATTTGGTAGCATTATTGAACAGAAAATGTTTCTGGTATGTCTGGCACATGTAAGTTGTCACCTTAGAGAAAGCAAAAAATTGGATCAATTATACTAGAAAATTCATGTATTATTTTTAAGAAATATTAAGACTTTAAAAAAAATAAATTGAAATAAAAAATTCTTTTTTAAAAAAAAAAAATTAAAAACAGATAACATTTATTTTCATTCTCTTTGAAAATTGGTTGCAATTAAGAAATTAGAATTTAAAAGATGAAACCCTGTTTTCTTTCAGATGAAATAACTTATTTTATTCTTTGACTGTGTAAACTATAGCATACAGTCTTCGAACATGCTTATTAGGGCTCTTGTTTTACCAGATTGTGTGCTGATTTTAGACAGTTAGTCTAATGGCTTTTGAATTCGTAATATGTAGCTTATCAGTGCTTTTACTACAGTGCGAGAATCTCGCATATTTTGTTTCTTTTCTTGCATTAAAAAATTATTACCGCGAGAAATTCGCGCATTCTATAAAACAATTTCAAAATTCGCGAATGTTTCGCATTTTGAAATTTTTTTTTTTCATCGCGCCATTTAGAATAAAATCCGTTTCACTTTTCTTCTTGGATCTTTCATTATTTTCAATATCTGCCCCATCCCTATTTACTAGTATTGTTCAGAACCTTTAAGAACAACAGAACACCATCCCTCCGAACCTCTTTCAGAACGCATTTCACTGTAGGTAAGGTTTCTTCATGTTAGACGTTCAAATTTTTTGCGCATTAATGCAAGATGGACAAATACCTTGTAAAGGCAATATCTTCTACTCCGAAACGGACAAATGAAAATGAAACAAATGTGGGTAGAAACGATCAAAACGAAACAAATACGCATTTGAGCAACCTAATGAGAATAGCTGATGAAAAAGTAGATATAGAACATTTTCCATCTGATGATGCAGCAATAATATTCAACGCTTGAAAAATTAGAAGATGTTAAAAATGTATTGTAAGTAAAGAAATTTTTTTTTTCAAGTCTCATTTTTTAAAATTTTTTTTTTTTTATAATTTTTAGAAACCTCACTTAACTTTTTGAAATCTCCCCCTGTTTTTGAGAAAGGGTGAGAAATTCTCACCCATTTCTTTTCTGCGATGAAAACACTGCTTATGCTAAATTCACCTTCGATTTTGCTAGTGAGATTTCAAGGTATGAACGGGGACACAAGCATGAACCCTTTAGTTCAAATGTTGAATTAATCTTTCAATAATTTATGGCATTTTGTTTAAATTAAGATTTTAAAATAAACATTATAGTTTTACTATTGAGGTACAGTGAATGTTTTGAAAGAATTTCACCTACAAACAACAATTTGAAGTCTTTAAAAGCTGGAGAATCACCTTTAATTTAGTAGGACCAGTAGGTTGGTGGTTCTGCCAATTGCACAATATTCAACTCAAACAAAGAGGGAAATAAAAAGAATCTTTCCAAATATTTTATGACATTATAATTATAATTATTTTTTTAAAATATTAACAGACAATTCTTTTGAAATTTTATATCTTACCTTTAAATTGAATATTGCAAAGCTTGTTATAAAAGTAAATTTGATTTCTTAACATTTATTTTTCAAGAATTAAAATAATAATAAAATTTTCAATGAAAATACTGCAAATCATATTTTATATTAAAAATTGTTGAGGTAATTTACAAAACTAAAACAAAATTGCAATAAAATTATATTAAGGCAGTTGTATGCGAGATATTTATAATAACATGAACAGAATCCAAGAATAAACTTACATGCTATCACAAGTAACAAATAACATACCAATTATTTACAGGAATTAAAATTAAATTTATAGTGAATTTAATCAATTAATTATTTGTAAAATATTATATAAAGATTTACTTTGTATATTATTTATTAATGTGGCACAGCAATAAACTTTTCCTGCCTAAATTTCTAGAAAAAAAATAAATAATTTTAAATGATAAATTAATGAGGTATAGATTGATTTATGTAATTTACCTCATAATCATCAATTTCTTAAAAAAAAAAAAATATTTACTATATTGTGTACATTAATCATTCACATAGTTACTCTGACTGCAATTTCCATCACCAAACTGGGTAACATAAATCAAATAAAAAGAAGATTCTCACCTTGCCATTTGCTGTTGTGACATAAATTGTTGCAAAAGTACTTGTTGTTGCTGTTGAGAAGGTAGACTAGAAAAGTTGTCTTGTTGTTTTAGCTGGGAAAGGAGTGCCTGCATTTGAGCTTGTTGCCTAAAAATCATATTAATTATTAATCTATTCTTAAATAAACTTCACAAAAATACAACAAAGAAAAAAATACAAATTGATAAACCTCATAATTAACTGTTGTTGCATAAGCTGCTGCTGGTACAGTTGTCTTTGCAGAGCCAGTAAGTCATCTTGTTTTGGCAACTGAGAAGGTGTAGATGTAGTAGCTGGGTTAGGCACATTGGTTTGAGTAATTGGTGTTGGAATTGATGAAGAAAGGGGAGTGACCTGCACAGAAACAATGCTTTAGTATTGAAGAACATAGATTAAGGGCCATTAAAATGCCTGTGTAAGATAAAGATTAAAATAAAGTATTCAACAATTTAATAATGTTTTTTTCCTGAATGGTAAGTGAAGAAATATATTTCAGACTTTTTTCAATTATTTACTATTATTTTAATTTAGCTACATATAACTGCACAATGATGAAAGAAAGAAAAAAAACACATTTAAAAACTGACAAAAGAAACAAAGAAAAATTAATTTTATTAAATTATTCAGAAGCCACATCAAAACTATGGGGCAGACGGGAAAGCCGATGGCAGAAATTTATAGTTATACTATTTTTAAGAAATTTATAGTTAATTTTCTATAAGAATAGTGCCAATTGCTGAGTTACACCCCTAACTTTTTTCTTGGGGTCATTTATATCTTTACTTAATTTTCATCTCTGCACCCTTAATGTTTGTCCTAGTGCCATAAAATTTGATTTTTAAAAAAATATCTAAAGTTTACTTCACCTAGCAGCTCAAAATGTTGGAAAAAAAATCAAAAACTGAAGCAGATTCAACAATACAAATTTTGTTTATACAAGCATATGTAGAAGTTCAGTTGACCCCATTCTTTTGTTGTGGTGTGACATTTGCAATAATTATGAAAAATAACAATATTTTCATAAAAAGTTAAATTTTATTTATTTATTCTAACATACATTATTGAATTTATTTAAAGAAAAATTTTATTTCATTCATTTTGATAACTTAATATAAAAAAATTAGAAATACATATTAATTTAAGGATGAAATTCAGCCCGTTGATCTTTTCTGAAGACTGATTTCAGTTCCTCAGGACGGAAGAGTGGTATCCATGGGATATGCAAGGAAGCAGGTCACAAAAAAAGCCCAAGCGTTAAGGCTTATTTTAATATTTTTCAATGACAGATAGTAACCACAAAAAACAAGAACTAGCAGAGTCGAGAGAACTATAATGTACGGATGCGGAAATTCAATATGCGCCGCACCAAGGTGGAAAACCCCAGATCAAATATTGGCAGTCAAAATGAAACTGTTCAGAATTAAAAAACCAAGAACCTTACCCTTTTCACTCTACACTGGAAGTCGCGGTTATTAAAACAAACGTGCACCTGCCGAAGTTCCACCCATTTTCTGCTGATGATAATTTTTTCTCAGGAGGCCACTGCAGTGAAAAAAAAGTTCATTCCAACTATGACTATTGTTTGGATGCTTGGGCTTCAGCAGTTATGGAAGGGGGTCTGTAATAATTGAACCCCCCCAAAATTACTTTTTTGGAACATTGTCGGAAGTTTTAAAAAATTGGGAGAAAAAAGAAGAGCATCGCTTTTTTGCAGAAGTCTTCCATACCTGGGGTTGAAATGTTTATAAGCCTCATGTTAAAAATCAATAAACTAACCTTCCACCATACCATGCATTTAAAGGCTAAGCAAAATAAAATAATAATAAAAAATCTTACCCTTATGGGTGGAGGTAGATTACCAGGTAGGAAAGGTACTCTATCCCAAACTTTAATAAGATCACCTGTTTAACGACATGAATTTTAGTTTCTTCAATTTAAAAAACTAGTATTATAGTACTGGTATACACATACATAGTACAGTACTGGTATACATAAAGTTTAATTTTTCTTTTTACCTAGTTTATGAAACGTTTCATCATAATTTCTTCGGACCATTAAATCTTCTGTAAAATAACCAGCGGTAAACCATTCCAGCATTTCTGGCGATTTAAATGGGCCTGAAAAACAATTGGACGAGTATAAATACTGTCATAGAAAAATATAAGTATAAGTTAGGAACATTACAAACAATCATTGATAGTGAATATTGAAAAAAAGTAAGATGCTTGCACATATATTTCAGAAGACAGGCTGGGAGAGAAATGAAGGGAAGTTATTAACCGTAAATAAAAATATTTTTCTACAAATATAGCATTTGCTTGCAAGCAAAAATTAATGTATTTTTGTAATTAACTAATAAACAAAAAGAAGATTTGCTTTAACCAATTATCTAAAATTCCGTAGTTTTTAAGTGCATAGGAGAGATAATAGAAGGTGGTAGTCCTATTTGACTATTTCATTATCCTGCATACCTTGTGGTCACATTAGACCGGTTAGTCTGAAGCAGACGGTATTTGCAAAATACCCTCCAGCTTATTTAAGTTTTTTTTCTTCATATATTAGACAGTAAAACAACTTATGTAATTTTATTTTCTTCTTTGAAAGGAATGACTGTTCTATGTAAGTGGGTTTAAAATAAAGAAAATTGTCTATGGAGGAAATGTTAAGTCAATTTTTCAAGTCATAGTGTAAAATGACAAAAAGAAAAAAAATATATTACGAACCCCCATTGACATTTTTTGCAGAAAATGGCCCCATATGGAAAAAAATCAAAACTAGTTTAAAATTTAGCATAAAATTATAAGAAGTTCTTATGTATGCAAGAAAAAAAAATATAAGAACACCTCCATAAATTACTTAAACTTTATAGTTAGATATTAATATTTATTTTAATTTGACTTTAACATCAGGAAAAGATATAAGAAAAAGTAGGATAAGAATTTAAAATTTCAAAAACAAAGCAAAAATTTACTTATTAATTTTCTCATCATGACAAAAAGTGTATATATATATATATAATAACAGGGCTACATCCTTGTTGTATGCAGCTTTAATAATTCAGTCGTAAGCCATAATACGCTATTAAAAGGTTTATTTAAAGGTAGGCTGGTGGGTATAACAGTTTACATCCCCACTCCACAAGGGAGGCAGTGTGGACAAAACTCCTGATGGTTCCGGTAGATCTTTTATGGAACACCTTGAAGTCCCAAAATAGAATTTCTACACCTATTCTTTACCAAAGACATATNTTTATTGGAGCACGTTATTCAGCAAGAGACATGCAAAACCATCGGTCCCGCATTAAATACTACAGAAAATGATGTAATTAGGTTCCAGTCATACATACCTTTGTAACGCATCATGGAAAATCATTTGGTGCTTCCTAATATGGAAGTGAAAGAGGGACAAGATTCTAAAAGTATCTTCTCCTTTGAAATGCTNTATATATACATATACATATATATTAACTTTAAAGCTGATATTAAAACTAAGATTTATTGAGAAAAAAAATATTTTTAAAATATATAATATTGTTCGTACCTTGTATATCACCTTGTGGATCTTGATAAAACCATTTAGTTTCTTTTTCGTGAGGTGCATGAATGTCTACAGTATGAGAAATAGCCTGCTGTTCCTCCTGGATGGCAAATAAAACAGTAATGTAAAGTTGAGTGGAAAAACTATTACTGTTATAGCTAACAATTTTACGATAAATAGCACACTTTGATATTATGTATGCAATACTATAAAAACCATTAGTGAGACTAAAAAAAGTAATAAAACATAAGTTCTAAAATATTTTCTACAACACATTTACATAAATATGTTTTCAAAAATTATTATATAAAAGTGTAGCAGAATATTCATTATTTCATAAAATTAATTATATACATATTCAAAATATATGCATTGATAAAAAAAAAACATTCATTAGCTATTAGCAGCTATATATTATAAGCAAACAATAAAAATTAATGAAATTTAGTTACTAGGGTTTAAGGTACAAGGTTGAAGCAGGATAGTTTATACCAAGGTTAGTAATATTTGCAATAAGTATTTTTTAAATAAACAGTAAAAAAAAAGAAGACAATTTTGGAAAAATTAACTTCATTTTATTTGTTTAGAAAAGAGAATGTGCATTGTGAAGTTTGATAGTACTCACTATATTTATTAGAATATAACTTATGAGAATTTGACCTGAAATTTTCATGCAATTGTGTGATATTGTCTTTTTCACCAACAGGTTATTCAACAGAAATGTAGTGTATCATGTAACTTTTAATACTAACTTTAGGAAATAAATACTTGGAAGGTTATCCAATTTAACAAATTTGTAAGTCACAATTTTAAAGTCCGTATGAAATATGATCCCTTATGATTTTTTTTAAGGTGCATAAACTTCTAGGTATTGACTAAGTGTTAATTATATGAAAATGCCTCCCTCAAAATAAATAAATATAACATAAATCAAATCTTAAACTGCTAATTTTTATTAATTTCAAGGATTCATGGCTCCACAACATCAATCAAATGCCATTACTTTATAACATATTTGTTTACATAAGGGATCTTATGTTTATACCAATCATTATGTTGTGTCAATCATTGAAAAAGTATTTCCTGACAGTCAATGGCAACTTTTTAAGTGTGTTCTAATGTCATCTATTGCATTTACTGGAATAAAAGCAATAGCGAGCATGAGATGGTGCATCCTAAATCATGAAACAATACAACTTTTTTTAATAGTTAAATTATTAATTCATGTTTCTTTTTCAATGTAATTAAAACAAGATGCACAGTGGTTGAAGGAATAGAGCATTCGCCTCACAATGAGACCACCCAAGTTCGAATCTCAGTGGTGGCTAGTAGATACAAATTCTACTCCCAGCTTGCACTGACCACAGTGCAGATGTAAAATATCCGCAGTGGTCCAAATTTTTAAATTTCAAATTTTTTTGTCATAAAGATTTTCATTTTTAATTACTAAATTATCAAAGAATTGTAGCTCCATAGTTCTTCAACACAGTCTAATTTAGATAACGTAAAGTATAGTAATAAATAAACTTAAAAAAAAAAAAAAAAAAAGCAGAAAATAAATTTAACTTTTCCAAGGATAAATATTATTATTTAACCAAGCCTGGCTACAAAACGGAAATAGCATTTGATGATCCTATGTATTGATTTCTACTGTACAGGAAGCTGTTCAAACATGTAGATACAGTCTTCTGTTATTTTTATATAACATTCAACTGTAAAATGAAATAAGTTAAATAGACTTCAAGTATAGCTATTGAATGAAAATCTGAATAAATAAAGGGTTTAAATGGCATTTTTTGATAAGTTTTGAAGTGAAAGAAAAGTGATTTTGGTAACAAACATTTGATGAACAATTTTCTAAAACATTAGGCATAAAAAAAAAGCTAAGAGGGAGATTGATGAGACACGGTTATTTTGAATAAATATTATAGGATTAGGGATCTGAATTATGTTAAGTGATGATCTAAATTATAAACTAAGTTCTGGATAAAAAAAAAGTGTTTCCACAATAATGTAGTTTATAATGACAGAAATAAAGAGGGATGGACAAATCTCAAGAGTCAGACAACTAAAATTAACCTTTTCACCATATTAGTCTCCAAGATATATGAAATATTATAAGAAGAATTTAATAGAAAAAAGTCAAACTTGCATCAATTGATAGATAATATTTTAAAGTTAAAGCTGAAAGGCAATGTTTATGTATGTATCCTATTAAATGATACTATTACAACAAACAATATTAAGTTAATTACTGCCATAGTGTTTATTTCATAGCTTGATTAAAATATTAAATTATAGGAATTACAATTTAAAAGATTTATTTAGCAAAAAATATGCCGCAATTTGATTTTTTAATTTAATATTCAATTCCTTCACTGCTAAAAGATATACATATGACCCATATCACTAAAAACTGGTCAAGTATGTCCTTAACAAAGTTACTATTTTCTCTGACTAAAACAGAATAATAAATTCAAAAAGCATCATAATAACATTAATTAAAATGATAGGTATAATCAAAACTGTTATACTCAGCATCTTTACATTTATTGATTTTAAATTTAAAAAACAGAGTAAAAAGGTAGAATTGAAGCAATAAAATAGTTGAAAAAATAATAGCTGAGCAATTATTTTTTTTTCTGCAGAATTATATTCTAAAGATACTTTTCTTGTTCATCAGAAGGGAAAAGAATACTCCTGATTTTTCTGTTCTCATTTCCGAATAAAAAAATTTTACCAATGACTGGCTTGCTTCAGCTAGAATTTTAAATTGATAAAATAAAAAATAATAATAATTCTGAAATCACAGAAGTTTATAAGATACTTCACTCTAGAAATTAAGATTTTTCTTCTTTTTTTTTAAAGAACGCCATAATTTTTAATAAACATGATAAAAACTTTTTATATTTTAATAAAATATAAACTCTGAGTGGGGATTTTGTTACAAATTCAGATATTTGGAACACCATGAAACACTGGGAAGGGGGGGGGGGGCCTNGGAAGGGGGGGGGGGGACTCCATTTAAAAAAAAAAAAATTTTCTTTCGGGGACCTAAATCCATGACTTTAAAAAAAGAAGAAAAAAAAGTTAAAATCATGACAAATTTTGTTCAATACCAAAATTTATGACTTTCCGGGTGCGCGGATACCCTGTGAAACTACTGTAAAATAGTTACTGTAATCAGACCTTGAGTTTCCAGAAGTATTTTTGTTTAGAATCCTGTATTCGGGATTAAAATGCATTGAAATTAAATAGTTATTATAAATTTTAAAATGCTTATAAATAATTTCTATAAATTTAACCATCACTCATAACAAATGCTTACTTCTTCTGTCCATTGAGCAACCATATTTTCAGTTGCTTTTTTATGGTGGGCAAATGCATCTTCTTCTGCAGTACCACTTGTCGGAGTGGCATTATCAGAAGTTCTTAAAGTACTTAACACAACCGACTCCTCCACTTTATTACATTTTGAATTTACAACAGGCACATTAGTGTTTGGATCTGGAATGAATTCAGATTCTGGTTGAGAACGAAGTTGCTGTAGTTGAGCATCTGATTTAGTTCTTATCACTTCACTAGCAGACTTCGTGACCCCCGTTTTAGAGTTTTTAGAATTATTTTTTGAAAGTTCAGGACTATTTTGAGCTTGTTTTACTTCTGTTTTATTTTCTCTTGAGGTGCTGTCTATTTTCTTCTTGTTTGAAGAGGTTTTATTACTTGAAATATTTGGCGTAGATTTTGGCAATTTCTTAAGATTTTTTTTGTCTGCTTCTGGGTTTTCCTGAAATATTAAAAATAGCACTTTGTGAATAGAAAATTCTTTCCAACAAAAATTTTGTATACAAGATATTATAACATAATAATGAAATACAAGTTATTTAATAAATTTACAAAACTGTATAATAACAAACCATAAAAAGTTGAACACTAGCAACAATGTAAAATGGTAGACTTAATTTAAGCAGAAAAAAAAAGTTTAAATTGTTTATTTTTGTTAGTTAGAATATAATATTCGATGAATTTATATAAACAAAATGAAAGAACGTTTTTGTTTTTCTAATAAATAGAATAAGTTTAAAAAAAAAAAAAAAAAGGAGAACAAAAATAAAGTAACTTTATAAAAATAGGTTTAGCATGGTTACTAAACTTAAAAGTGTTTTTTTTTTTTGTGGAATCACATTTTTGTGATTCAAGCATATAACTAATTCTGATATACAAAACCACATTAAATATTTGAAAGAAAAAAAAATATTTGAATATTATAAAATCTAAGTTAATACTGCCAGAATAATAAAAACTCTCAACTTGATAGTTTTAAGGAGGCTTTTATTGTTTCAAAGAATGAAAAAAGAAAAAGTTTTTTTTTTNCAAAATTAAATGATTGGTGTGATGAATTACGCTTAATGAAAAAAAAAAAAATTTTTTTTTTTTTTTTTTTTTTTTTAAAAAAAATAAGTGTTTTTTTAAGAAAAAAAAAGACACAAAATAAAGATATTCTATATCCCACAAATGTCAAACTAGAGAGTAAAACTTGTTAAAAACTAAGATGAGCAGTTTTCTATGAAATTTTGCAGTTATTTCTTTACCCTGAGTTAAAAAACCACAAATTAATTCATTAATAGGTAAAATGAGAATCGTATTAAAAAAAGATAAAAAGGACAATCATTCAATGCAGACAGAATGCTTTGCACAAAAATGATATAAATTTAAAAACAGTTTATTAGAGCAGATACAAACATTTGTCGAAGATGCTCAGAATTTGAAAAGTAAGTTCAGTACATAAAATTTGACCAACTGAAACTTTTAATTATAAAAATATTTGTTTAAAATGAGTTCAAATTAACAAATGTTGACTCTAAATTCACAAATAGATAAAACTGTTTCCAAAAAAGTCAGCAAATATCTATAGCTTGGGTACATTTGTAAAATGGAAGCACGAGTCTTTAATAGGTGAGAGATTTTACGAACACCTTAAATTTAAAAAACTTAAACCGGCTCCAAAGGATCTACCCTACAAACACATCCATTATAATTAGCTTTGTAATAAAAAAGAATATTATTTGAAAATAACAAGTATTACTTTAGAAGACCCTTCATCAGCTGAGTCTGAGAGATATATTTCATCCACACTTGCATCTTCAGAAGTCTGGAAAAAAAATTAAAATTAAGCAATTTAGCCAAATAAATATTCAATTATAAATAAAAATTTAAATATCGAATACTTTTGTTTCCAAAAAGGCTCCACTAGAATCAAAAGTTCCCACAGTATCAGTTTCATTCGTTTCTTCAACACTCCATTCAGGTAAATTATTACCTATAACAATTAAATAAATATTTTATTAAAGGAAAAAGGATATCTCCGTGCATTTATAAATTGTAATTTACTTAATTATGCAACAGTTTATACATGAAAGATTCCTTAATAAATACATTTCTGTTAAATTTAATATCAGTGTTAGAAAAAAACTGATTTGTTTCAAAAAACTTCCCAAAACCAGGTTTTTCGGTTTATTTAAAACAAAAAGTAAAATAATATTTGAAGATCCAAATTGAAAGGAACCACAAACCATTAAAAAAATCCTTTCGCAGAAACCTTTTTTAACTATTGATTAACAATTTGAATAAAGAATTCAAAACTATTCACTTTTGTTTCATAAATATGAAAAACATAATAAAACAGTATAACTAGAGATGTAAACAAGCTTATTTATTACTTTACAACTCCACTTAACATATAAATAAGCATTTAATAAGTAAATGTTATTTTGGTAATGCGTGTATAAAGAAGTTTCGCTTTTGATAGACAGTATGTATAAAAATCAAATATTATAGTATCATTTACAATCATGTCAATATTTAGCAGTACACAATATGCAGTATTAATATCAATTAATTGTTATAAGTAAATTTTTTTAAAAATTAATTTTATTTATTGAATCAATACAAGTTTTTATAGAAAGGAGTAAGACAATGCATTATTTCAATAAAAAAATATATTTAAAATTAATTGAATGATATAAAAGAGTAAAATTGATAAATGAGTTACATAAATGCAAACATATAAAAAAGTAAAGGTATGCCCTAGATCTATCAATTAAAAAAAAATAACCAAGAATAATAAATATTTAAAAATATTAACTAACCGTAACTAAAAATATTAACTAACGGTGGAACTTTAAAAATATTTTAAATCAATTTTTGAATATTTTTTCTATAACAGTTTTCTTTAAATATAGTATAAAAATTGAAATATTAAAATAATGAATATATCATACATACAATATAAATTTCTTTACCCAAGTAACGGAAAACTAAGCAATCATTATGTATTTTTAACAAGTATATAAAAGTAAAGTTTGAGAAACTTCTAATTCCTTCAATAATTACAGTATTTAATTAATTTTAAAAACTAACAGAACATGGAATTAGTTATTGTCGAATTTATTTTAGGTATTTTGTAAGAGACCCCATGATTTTATCTAAAATTTGCTCACATGAATTTATTTTACATGGTATTTTTGTCAAAACTGTAATTCTACGCAAACATTTAAAAAGTGCAGATTTATGTCTATTTTAAGTATATGAATTACCATTAGCAATTAAACTCAAAATTACAATTTTTTTGTTGTTTTTGTTTGGCAATATTCAAACAGATAAAAGGTACATCAATAGTAGAAAATGTTAATTTTCAGAAATGCGAAAGCTCAAATACAAAAAAGAAAAAAACTAAGGACTGAAGATTATTGAAATCAGGTCGTTCATTTTCGTTTAATGATAATTTAATTCTGTTTCAAGGAATTGAAATGATAACTGCAAGGGCTCATCTAAACATTGATTAACCAAACTCTATCAAAACTGATATAGTGATTTATCAGTTTTAGAAGATTTACTTAATTAGCAGGGTTGCCACAGAAAAAAAATGAACAAAATAGTTGCTTTTAGTAGCCTAAAGCAGTGTTTCCGACTTTTGTGTACCCGTTCTAAATTTTTTGTAACGTTGTGTACCACTAATAAAAAAATGAATGTATTTATTACTATAAAAAAAATTGCGCAAAAGTTAAAAGTCATAACTGGTTGTTGACACCACTAATTTTTAACTGTTAACTCTGCAAAAAACAGCAAATAAAAAAAAAAGGTAATCATAAATTTTCACGACTAGCTTTGCTTTTTTAAAAAAAAAAAAAAAAAAAAAAAAATTGACATTTTCGTTTGTTGTAAGATATTTCGTATAAGAGAAGTAACCCGCTAAACTGTTCCCGTACCCCTGGGGGTACGTGTACCACACTTTGGGAAACACTGGTCTAAAGCATGAAAATAATTGCCGAAAACTATGAAAATAGCTGCCTAAATAAGAACAAAAATAAGACTAAAATTTTATTAAATGATTTAATTGTCATATACAATAATCCATTTAGTCTATGGTAACTTTTTCTGCCTGAAAAGGTTGCATGAAAATAGCAGCATTTTAGCTGAATATAGTTGTTGGAAATAGTTGCATTTTATCATACTGAAAATAGTTGCATTTTAGTCGCCTGCAGCAACCCTGAATTAGAAGAAAAAACATACTATATTAGACTGGGCCAATCCAAATGGCCTACTCCATGATGAAGAACATTAGAGCCGATCACACTTTAAGAAAACATGTTTAAATTATCAGAGAAAAAAAAAAATCATGAATTTTGCCAATTTTGTTTATTATTTTTTATACAACAAAACACATATCACTAGAATAGCATTTATGGTGGGATCGTTTAAGCTAGACAAGAACAGAAGAGGCGAGGAAAAAAAGGAATAAAATTCTGCTGTAAAAAAATTGTTGAAATTGCTTCAGTAAAAAAAAAATAATAAAAATAAATAAATAAAATACCAGAAGGTTCTTTCCAAGAATGATTTTTGTGAGGACTCGGACCACTCCTGCTATTAGGATTAATGTTACGATTATGAAGATTTCTGTCTGAGGCACCTTGTCGGTCTCTTTCTGAGTTGTTTCGCCAAGAGCCCCTGCCACCTAAAAAATAAATGAGAGATTCATATACATATTTTGGAACATACAACAGTTGCTACTAACAAAATACACGAGAATAACTAAAAATAATAAAGAAAATACACAAATCTAATATTATACACGTGATTACTCTAATGACAAAATGGCTGAAAATTTTTAAACCAGATTTTTCAAAGAAACAAATCTTCTCTCAAGTTTAAGAAGAACAGGGCGTCATTAAATAAAAGATGTTTAAGCTAAATTAATTTTTAAAAATACTTAATTTTAACAAATAAAATTTAAAATTTTGATCCAAAAAATTTATTTATTTACCCTTAATTTTTTACAAGGATAGAAAAAGTTCAATGATCATTTTCACATCATTATTAAAAAATGAAATGTTTTTGTACAAGAAAATAAACAGTATTAGTAAAATACATGCTTTCTCTAACTAGTTAAGAACTAAATTAAACTTAATTGTTGACACTTGATGCTGACGATTGAAGCAAACTCGTTAAAAAGGATCAGCACGGAAAAAGAGAACATTACATGTGCTGCTCATGCACGGATGCTGGTCGGGGTGTAAGCAGTCTTCTGAGTGAAAGAGCGAGGCGAGAAAATATTACCACATCACCAAAAACAGAGGTAAAATTTTAACACCCAAGTGAAAGCTCTCAAACAGGAAACCACATCAGGAATTGGCTAAGTCTATCAGTAATCTCGAATAAATATAGTTTAGAACTCTTGTTAATGCTTTTATGCAAAATTAAAAAAAAAAAAAAAAAAAATTATACATCTAGTACAGATAAGAATTTTTATGAACAATTAGATACCAATTCTGTCAGATGATCGGGATCCAGAAGATCTCCAATCTCCTTCATCATCCTTATCAAACTTCCTCCAATAATCGTGAGGTGCACGTGGATTATCTTGTTTTAAAAAGCCATCATCACCACCGCTACCCCGACCTTTAAGGATTAAAAAAGTGTTTACTTTATGAGCGGTATAATCCCAAAATAGTCAAGGCATCAATAACAAACTAGTTCTATTTCATATTTTTAATTCCAAATGAGTTATTTAATTTCATATCTTACTAAAAAGTTAAAAAAAGGATCGGTGCAAAATACATACTTTATTATTATTTTTAAACTGAAAATCTTATTTTTTTTTTTCGTGATGTTAAAAATATACTTTCATGTTAAAAATATACAATTGATAAGGGATGCACAACCTGCAGCCCACTATCTTACAACAAAAAATGACTGATAAAAACCTACATAAATACTAGCTAAACTTCAGAATTTTTTAAATTTAGTTTCAATAAATTTATTCCAAAATGAATGTGTTTAAATCTAATTTTATCCCTTTTAACTTTTCTTTAACCAAAACATGTGTGTAAAAAAACGTATTTCAATGATTTATTTAAAAATCAAAATCATATTTTAAAAGTAACTAAATATATATATATAGATGAAACTACTTTTGTCAAGGAAAAAAATAAAAACCTAGTTCATTTAGAACCCCCCCCCCCTTTAAAAAAAATAAAAAAAGATAACTAGGAAGAAAATAATTTGGTTTAAGTCAGAAAAAAGATGTATTTTAAATAAAATAATCTTTATTGAAGCTGAAATAACTCTACATTTTACAGCTTGAATTCAATTTATGAATTTTTTTATAATCCTCATTTCCCCTGAAATTATTAGACCACACACTACATAAAACAATAAGTTGATAAAATTATAGCAACAAGTAAAACTTGACAATTGGTGACATTATCTATACATCTTGAAATTCTATTCTACTTTTGAAATGATACATTAACTCTGTAATTACATATAAATATCAATGTTAAAAAAAAAAGACAAAGTGCTTATGCACACATAAAAATTTTATTTGCCCTGAAAACATTTGATTTTATAAACCAAAATGCACAGGGGAAAAAAATTAGAAAAATTAAAGAATACAAATACACTAAAGGTTATATTGTTACATTTATGTGTTACTTTTACTGAATTTATATTTATAAAACACAAGCTACAATTTTTAATTTGAAGAAGAAAAGGTTATAAAATAGTCTATTTACTTGGTTAGTAAAATTTAATTTCAAAGATTCACGATAATTTAAAAAGCTTTTGTAAGCTTCAATATTTCTCATTCATTGCTATAAAATGTATTTTATAATATCAAACACTTTTAACCATTTATTGAAGATGCATTTACTTTAGTGAATGATGATCATTGACACTAAATGATAAACATTTTATAACTTTTCTACATTCTAGGCATGATATAACACAAGGAAATTTTGAGTAACATAACAAGAAATTTTTTTTGTAAACCAAAAGTAAATTCTTACCTGAATAAGGTCGATCGTATCGTCGATCTCTAAAATAAAATATAAATAACTTTTAGAATTTACAATTCAAAATATCAAAAAAACGAAAACATAATTATATAAAATATCTTTTTCTGCTCAAGAAATTCTGCAAAATATTTGAATTTTTAGTATCACATTTTGAATTAAATATTATCATAGGAACCATTGAGATTACTTGTTAGCTTCTAAAAAATTTATCCTAAGATCAGAAGTTATTTAGGCATTCTATTTTTTAGATTCCTAACATTCCAATTACTAAGTTAAGTTTCGAGCAATAAATGCCCAAAAAAAAAAAAAAAAAAAAAAAAAAAAAAAAAAAAAAAAAAAAAAAAAAAAAAAAAAAAAAAAAAAAAGGATAAGAAAAGAAAAGAGAAGAAAACAGTTTAATACTTAATTATATACCTGTCATCCCATCGCATATCTCTTTCATTCGCACTTAAACTTCTCTCTACTTGTTTTGGACGTGAAAAACCATGTAAACCATCATCATCGTCATGTATTAGCCCCCTCTGATAATAACCGCCACGACCTATAAAAAATAGTAGGGCAGGCATAAAATCTTTAGTAGTATTTAAAAAACTGACTTAGAAAAGTTTAAACTAATTCATTAGAATTATCACTAGATAAAGATATTTAAAAGAACATATGGGAGAGGAAAAAAAACTTTTCTTCCTTGTGATAGGTCATAGCATTTACCTACATCTATTTAATAAAAAGTCCTGTTGATAACTCTCAAGGTTAACTATCTTAAAAGAATCAAGTGCTACAAAATTATATATATTAATTCAGATTAACCTCTGATATAAAATAAATTGAACACATTTTAAGTATCATAAAAATAGGAGGGAAAAAATCTATTGTAAATGGCTAAATTTTGGGAAAGTTACACAATTAAAAGCATATTAGGTTCTGGAACAATGAGATACAAATGTAATAGTATGAAAACTACAAAACACATTAATTACCCCACAAAAAAAGTGAAATATTCAATGTGTGTAATTAAAATAAACAAAATTATATGGAATGAAATTTAATTTTAAAACTAAAACTCACCACGTCCTCTTCCTCTGTCTACAGATCCACCACGCCCAATTCTACCCATACCACCTCTTGGGTTCCCAGAAGCTCTTAAAGCTGCATCACTATTAACTCGAGTCCAAAGACGCTAAAAAAGGGAAAAAACATAAAACCAGATTATGAAAATGTTTCTGTTGAGTAATATTTAAGAATGAATGTTAACTAAAACAATAGATTGTTTTTATTATTTTTCAAGTCATGTATTTATGTTTCTTATATCAGTTTTTGTTTGTGTTTAGGGAATAAATTAAATGGGCCAATTTTTAAATACCAATGAATACCACATTTAGATAAGGTTACTTTTACAGGGAAAGATATGAACATAATATAAAGCTATTTGCTGAATTACCCCTTTTTTGTACAGAGAGAAAAAATTAACATCAATTAATCAGTAATGAACTCCACTACAAAATCTTGCACAAAATTTTAAAGCAATTACCAACACAAATAATGAAGCTAAAATAATTCCAATGTTTTTATTTACTTATTATTTGTTGCCCTTTTCACACTAGCTTTATGCTATTAGATTAAGCAAAAAAAATATTTAATAGACCACCCCATAAAAATAAAGTATTCAGTATCTTCTAACACAATGCTGTTGCTAGAAGCAATTATTGATATTTAAAATTTACCACAATCAAGCTTCTTTCTCCTGAATTAATAAAAAATAATTAAATGTTACAGAACATTTGAATTTTACCACACCATTCCATTTAACAAATTCAATTTTTTAAATGTCTCTGAATTAAAAATGTATAAAAAAAAAATCAAAAATTTGGCATCTTTGTTTCAACTGTACTCATTTGAATGTCGTAAAAATAAAAAAAAAAACTGAACTTTTACAACACAGACACTTAGAGGTGGGGGGAAGGAGTGTTCTATGTAATCAGGGTTGGGGTTTTGGACGTCTTTAACTGGTTTTGGACAGGACACATGGGTTTTACTGTCCTAAACTGGGTAAAACTGTCCTAAACTGGATAAAACTGTCCTAAACTGGGTAAAACTGTCCAAAACCTTGAACTTTGGTAAAAGGTAAAAATTCTATAGGTGTAACCATTGTACACATAATAATTACATGTATCAATAAATATTTGATATTTTTTATGCAATTTACTTTAACTTATAAAAAAAATAATATAATATAATAGGAAAATGTTTATAATTTTTGAACTTCCATAATTCATTGAGCAACAAAAGTGAATACCTAATCCTTTAAATATAAATATGCTATTAATACTGATAAATAATATTTTTGCATAAGGATAAATAATGCAGTATTAAAAAATAACATTTTTTTTTTTAAAAACACTAAATTTTTTAAAAATTAACCTTTTATTTTTCACAATATTTTTTTTTAAAAAATGCTATAATTTCTGCATGATAAAAAAGACATCTATTTAAAAAAAATATATTTTTTTAAAATATAAATATATTAGTTTAAATTGGAAATACAAAATAACTGAAAAATGTATTAACAATTTTGAAGTGCATAATATCAGTTTCAGTCACTGACACTGGTGATGTATCACCATTATGCTAAAGGAATTGAACATGAATGAAATAAAAGTATTCTTGAATAGTACTACAGATAAATAAACCTGTTTATGACTAACCAAGCACTTAGTCCCTAATAGCTTAACCTGTATGGCAAGGTCAAACTTCAGTTGTGTACTATTGAATGAGAGGACCAATTGAATTTGATTACTGATTAATCTTCCCTTGTTTAATGCTTAAATTGAAGAATCAAATAATATTAATAAAACATTATACTTTTAAAAACAAATATTCTGTAGTATATTTAATTATCAATATGTTATTAGTTCTGTTTCTATTTTACCTCTTAAATATTGTTCAGATAAAATTGTGACATAATTTGAGTAAAAGGGTTTTGGACAGTTTAAGACAGTTTTGGACAAAGGGGTTTTGGACAGGACGGTTTAAACCAGGGTTTAAACCGTGGATTAATCCATTCTGTCCTAAACCTTGCCAACCCTGTATGTAATACTGTGATATCAATACATTATATAAAAACATAACTTCTAACTCTGCCGTGAGATTATTTTATATTGAAAATGGCAGAATCATTTGGAAAGTGAAATTTAAGTTTTTTTTTAAATTTAAAAATCTTTGACTATATTAAAGAAGATATATATTAAAGAAAAGTAAGAAATATATAAGGCTTAATAATCATTTTAAATTAAAACAGTCACTAACTCATTATCTTCTGATAGATTGTTACTAACAGTTTTAGTCACCTTGACTCTTTTATTTAACCAATCAAACTTGAATTAATATTTTTTCAGCAGTATCCATCATATGCACTTTGCGTTCGTCTATCAAATTGACTTCCATCGTTCACAGATGAAAATAAGAACCGGTGGAGTTGAGAAAACTACAATGCACTGATGTGCAAATTCAATATACGGCACACCAAGGAGAAAAACCCCGGATTAAATATCGGCCGGTGAAATGAAACTGCTTAGAGCTCAACAACTAAGAACCCCATCCTTTCTGCATAACGGTGCACCTGCAGAAACCCCACCCATTTTCTCATGAAAATCTTTCTTACCCATAAGGCTACTGCAGGCAAAGATGTTTGTTCCAAGTATGGCTATCGTTCAGACGGCTTGGGTTTTGGCAGTTATGGGAGGGGGTTCAGTGAAAAATTGAACCCACTAATAACTATGTTTTTGGAACATTGCCGGAAATTTTAAAAATTGGGAGAAAAAGGTAAATTTTTGCTTTTTTGCAGAAGTCTTTCATCCCTGAGAGACATACACAAATTGTTTATTTTATTAGTACAGAACCCATTACCTTAAAATTAGAAAACCAGAACAAAATTTGATAAATTTTCCCGCCATTAAAAAATTTTTTTTTTTTCTTTTCCTCATAAGATTTTTCATTCTTTTTTGAAAGATGTTTACCTTACTATCATTTTGGAAATAATCATTAGTATATTACTCCATCTTTTTTTTTCTGTTTAAGATTATTTCCAAATATTATTTTTTTTAGTTGGGTTTAACAATAAAAAAACGGCTTTTCGTAGCGATTTAGAAAACCGGAAAAATCAGTTATCCGGAATAACAATGGTCCCGATCATTCCGGATAATCGGTTCCCTACTGTACATATAGGTATAGAGGAGTTTTGACTAAGTATAAACTTTTATTAAACAGTCTGTACTCTTTAACACAACACCATCTTCATTATAATGAGTGATATAAAAAGTGTTGATTGTTCTTGTTGCAACTGTGTTCAAGATGGCAAACTGAGAAAATGCTTAAGGGACACTAAAAATTATCTTTATTCATTCAAGTTATTTAGATTTCAATATTATTACAGTATAATTTATTTATAGTTGCATCAGGGTTGGCAAGGTTTAGGACAGAATGGATTAAACCACGGTTTAAACCGTCCTGTCCAAAATCCCTTTGTCCAAAACTGTCCTAAACCCTTTTACTCAAATTATGTCACAATTTTATCTGAACAATACTTAAGATGTAAAATAAACATAGAACTAATAACATATTGATAATTAAATCTACTACAGAATATTTGTTTTTAAAAGTATAATGTTTTATTAATATTGTTTGACTCTTCAATTTAAACATTAAACAAATGAAGATTAATCAGTAATCAAGTTCAATTGGTCCTCGCATTCAATACTACATAACTGAAGTTTGACCTTGCCATACAGGTTAAGCTATTAGGGACTAAGTGCTTGGTTAATCATAAACAGGTTTATTTATCTATAGTACTATTCAAGAATACTGTTATTTCATTCATGTTCAATTCTTTTAGCATAGTGGTGATACATCACCTGTGTCAGTAACTGAAACTGATGTTATGCCCTTCAAAGCTGTTAATAAATTTTACAGTTATTTTGTGTTTTCAATTTAAACTAATATATTTATAATTAAAAACAATTTTTTTTTAAAAATAAATGTCTTTTTTATCATCCTGTGATGCAGAAAAAATAAAATTTTTTTAAAAAAGTTTTGTGAAAAATAAAAGGTTAATTTTTAAACAAATTTAGTATTATTTTAAAAAAATTATTATTCTTTAATATTACATTATTTATCCTTATGCAAAAACATTATTTATGAGTATTAAAAGCATATTTATATTTAAAGGATTAGGTATTCACTTTTGTTGTTCAATGAATTGTGGAGTTTTAAAAATTATAAACCTCTTCCTATTATATTATCTTACTTTCTTTTGATAAGTTGAAGTTTTGATACATGTAATTATTATGTGTACAATGGTTGCACCTATAGAATTTTTACCTTTTACCAAAGTTCAAGGAATTGGACAGTTTTACCCAGTTTAAGACAGTAAAACCCACGTGTCCTGTCCAAAACTAGTTTATGACGTCCAAAACCCCAAGCCTGAGTTGCATATAACTTATTTATTTATCGTTGTTATTTAGTGGAAGATACCTAAAAATGCATTGCTCAGCGAATCTAAAATATTAAGTCTAAATTTATTAAACCTTAACTTCATGCAATGAGTTATGTTGTTGCATGTTTATGCAGTAAAATATGATCTAATTGGCAGGCTTAAACAGAACAATATAATAAATAAACAAAATTTGATAGTTGGCAAATAAACATGTTAATTAATAAGAGATTTAGAATGGAAATCTGAAGCAATTTAATTTACACATTTCAGCAAAATTTTATATACCTGCTCATCTTCAGTCATAGGTATCAAAGCCAAAGGCATTTGAAACTGCTCACGAACTAAATGAGGAAAATCTTTCATACAGGTGGGTACTTTTGCATCTTTAGGTATTAAGGCCAACATTTCCTCACGCCCATAGCGATATTCTGCTAAACTATACTTTGGTATGTTCATCACCGTAGGCGGATTAGCTGCACTAGATGCAGCTGCCCCAGCAGAATAAGCACGGATCCTATGGGGATGAAAGAAAAAAATTAATTTATGAAGTTTAAATGCAACATATGAATATAGTATAAAGTAAATTAAATCTAGAGGTTAAAAGTAAAAATTGTTGAAACTTTGTGTTTTTACAATATGGGATTATCTATTCGATTTTTATAACTAATATCCTCTCCGGCATAAATATTTTTGCTTATAATTTTTTTATAAATTTAATTATACTGTTAATGCATGGTGATGCAAAATAATTAACCTATTTAAAGAAATTAATGGACTAGCACACAGTTTTTTTTATTTACATTTCTTGAGTATAATTTGCAGATTACCAGTAAAAAAAAAAAAAAAAAGAAATTGTCAAAATTATTTTTTTTGACATCAAATATTGCGAATTTACTATAAATTTTTCTCAGCTATAAAAGCGTAAGGGATTATTCACGCTGGAAAAGAAAAATCCGTGCACGTAAAAAAATTTGAAGATGAGAATGAGTACCTTATTGATGAAATATATTTACCTGCAAAACTCACCAATCAGGTTTTTGTTTGCTTTCACGGTGAATGCCTCTTAAACTTGATCATGTCTCTGCTGATACCCATTGGCTCATGTAAGATGTAGATTCTGCCGATGAGAGAAGATTGCGTATTTCTATTGATTATTTATGTCATTTCCATCATAAATTAAAACTGGACTAAAAGAACTATATCATAATCCATGGATTGGATTATATGGCAAGGCAGACTGTCTGCTGAAATTTTTCCTTCTTGGTTAAAAACCACTGACTGTGGATTACACGCCGTCAGAGATAATGCACAGGAAATTAAGGTATTTCCCCCCCCCAAGAATTAAAAACTCCCCCCCCCCAACAAAATTACCAAATTAAATAGAACATCAAATCCCTCCTAAACAATAGCATTTTTGTAAAATTGACATTAATTGGTAAAAATTCATATGTGTACAAACATTATACGTGTACCACCAAAATTTCTGGTAAACACATGAAAATTTCTGAATAAACAAAATTTAAAAATTGGGGAAAGTTTTTCCTAACAAAATTCATAGCAGCATCATACATAAAAACATGGCAATGCTAACTTATGTGGAAAGGAAAACATTTACTAGAATCACATATCGAAATTATTTAAGTAACATATAAAAATTATTGATGTATTTTGATTGAAAAAGATAACATTTAAACTTATTAAATGAGACTGACTGAGCAGTTAAAAAAAAGTTCACATAAATTTGACATTTAATTTTATTTCCTAACGAGATAAGCTTTAAATTAAAAAAAAAAAAAAAAAAGATATCAAATATGCATGCATAAGAAAACAAGATGTAAACAGGTATTTACAACAATTAAATTAGATTAAATTATGAGTCCAGAATTAAGAAAAAACTTACCAGTCAGGACCAAAAGTCAAAGCAGTTTCAGCCATTGTAATAGTTTATTCAAGAGCTAAATAACATTAAAAATAAATCAGTTTATTTAATGGTTTAAAAAATATCCAAATGCATATAAAAATATTTTTAATTAGTGAGGACATTTTTTCAAATTATTTGAAGCAAAATGTATCATTGAAATTGTTTCTTAAAAGTACAGAATCTCAAGATCTTTCGTTATTAGAGAGCTGTATAAAAAATAATTACCTCAATTTCATAGACCTTAAGATTTTTTCTCTGCTCTGCAATACAAATGATTCAAAACTATCCAAACAATTAAATTAAATGTTTAATTGTTTTACAGCAAATCTGTTTTGTCTTTTAATATTCTAAAAATGAGCCTTGTAGGAAGAACTTCATTAAGATTAATATTTTTTTTTCTTTCATTTAAATAAAAATATATTAAGTTAGTAGTAGCTGTTAAAGTCTCTTTACTTAATTTATGCTTAGTATTTGATTTTTAAAAAAATATTTATTTTTCAATGTTCCTTTTTTTAATCTTCTCTCATTCAATGGTATTATTAGTTCTTGACAGGAATTTTCCAATTTATATTTGTTAGCCCAATTATAAACTTTTAAACTTGACTCTTGAAAGACAATACACTCTTAAGCAGGATTTTCATTTGCAAATAAAAAGAAATTTTGTTACACTTCTCTCATTATTTTAATAAATGAGTATCATATTTTTTCACAAGTCTACCAAGATTATGGATAGTGTTTTTAACAGGGTTGGCAGGTTTTTGACTTGTGACAGTTTTTGACAGTTTAAACCATGGTTTAAACCGTCACGTCAGAAACCTCACTGTCAAAAACCTATATTCATATGTGAAATTTAATTAATACATAAAATTTATATATTTTTTAAAGGATAGTGTTTCTAAATATGTTCTAAAAAAAATTAATTTAAAATTTTGAAGAAACACTTATATTTTGAATAGTAACCAAAATCTTGTACTTTTGAAAACTCACATCTTTTGTAATATTATGTATTCATTTTCATGTGTTATTGAAAATCTGCAGTGATATTATTAAGAAATTTATTTATAACCAAATTTAGTGTATAGTATAGATTATACTAAAAATTAGACATTTTTAAAGATAAACATTAGCAGTTTTGTACATTAGACATCTTTTAAAGAAAAATCTTTTTAATATTCTTTTAAATCTTCTTAATAATCTTTTTAACATAAGACAATACAAATTTAAGTGCTTTCTGTTAAATACACAGAGTAGTTAGTGTCGATTTACAGTATATTCAGCCTATTCATTTACTATGCTGAAAATTTAGTTTATCCAAATACTTGTGAATTTCATTTTGCTGAATACTATATAGTTTTGTTGAATATCTAAATATTCAGCTGTTGAATAATTACTTCTTGCTTTCAAGATATGCATTATTTGTATTCTTAATACAAGTGGGGAAAAAAAATAAGAGGTAAAAATTGTTTTAAAATGATAAGTGTAATAATTATAAATAAATATAATAAACAATATGAATTATATTTATCATTATTCACAAATATAACTACTTTTAAATTCAAATTAACATACTGGATAATAAAGATATTCGGTATAACATTAAAAAAAAATTTTTATACACTTGTATCAAGTTTGTATTTATACAACATAACTTGTAAGTTCCTTATAAATATTAGTTATATGTTCCTTATATGTCAAAAATGCATAGTAATAAACTTTTAATTTTCTTAAGTATCAAAAAAAAAATTTTTTTTTTCAAAATATAAATATTTAAAAAAAATTTGTGCAAAATTTTTCTGCACATGCATTTGAATATAAATTTCTGAGATTTTAAATCTGTTATTTTACCTTAATTTTAATTAAAAAATATTTTAAAACCTGCTGATTACCTATAGTATAATTAAATTTCAATATAATGCATGGCAACTGTTGGTAGTTTTGAAGTTTATATATTTTCTTGGCAAACTTCAGTTTTTGACATTTTTGACGGGTTTTTGACGGTTTAAACCAGTATTATACCCTTGTCATGTCAAAAACCACTTTTTGACGTCAAAAGCCCAACCCTGGTTTTTAATATAAAAATAAGCCAAAACTAATTGCAGGAAATGTATCCACTCAATTTCTAGTTATAAAACTACCTTTAGCTTATCCTAAGGTAATAGTGTGAAAGAACTAATTTTGTTCTAATCAAATAAAAACACATTGACTCATAATTCAAAAGAAAACTGAGAATTAAAAGAAAATAATGAACCAGGGGCGTTTAGATATAAACATGAAAAAATACAAACAAGGTTTCTACACAGACCTTAAAGAAACAGAGGAATATAATCGTTCTACGACCACTTATAGAACTTATACAAATCTATCTCGAAAAGTTAAAAGAAATAGCCCTAACAATAACAGCTTTTCCTTCTTTTCAGGGTATTATGGAAAGACTATTCTCAGCTCTGCTTGTCATCAAATATCTGATTTATCAAAGATCCCTTAAGACAGGATCAATGTCCTTTATCAAAGATCTTGAAGCTATACTGTTTTTTTAGAAATTACTTGCGCCAGCTTCTCAACTTTATAATAAATGCTAATTAATATAAATAATTAGACATGCCTTCAACTTCTTTTTTCTGTAGTATCCTATTACTTCCCATTATTAAAAAGCATCCATTATTATGTAGCATCCCATTATTAAAAAGGGATCAGTCTTAAAGTTTAAAATTCCAAGAGTTAAAAATACAAATAGGACATCTTAACATAGAAATGCTAAATTAAGAAGAACATATAATATGAATATATGCAGAAACAAAGATTAACAATGCAGATTATCTCTGTTACTTATTCCGGTAGGTGCTTATATATATATAATTTTCTACATTAACTTTCACTAAAACACTGTATTAGATACCATAAAAAGGGCAGACTTTCCTCAACATCTACTACTAAATTGCAAGATAGGTAGATTATTTTACAAAATATATCTACACTCAACTCTTTTCTTCATGTGGTAAGTTAAACTTCATTATAAATAAAAAAGTTTTTTTTTTAAAATTTTTTTTTGAACTCAGTTACTACCTTGGGTGAAGTGACTTGTAAGCCACCTAATATTTTACCTTAAAATTGACTTAAACTTTAATCAATCACATAGTTAATATTCTTGTTCAACACATGCAAAAGTTTGAAAATTTAAAAATATTTTAATTTTTAACATCACATTATAATATCCTTTTAGGAAGGTAAAAATGCTAAATTAAAATATGAAATTAAAACTGGTACTTCTCCATTTTCTGCAAGTATTTCTGAGTATAATTTGTTGAAATACAGACAATAAACACACATTTTTTATTTTTGATGTTTCATCTCAAAGTCAGACTGTTTCATTTATGTTAACCTCATCTTCCACTAGATTTCTTCTCGTCACAAAATTAAAACAAACACTATCAACACTAATTTTGTCTTTATAGTCATAACTACTGCTCTCATAATTGAATTACCCTTAACCATAAGTTTGCTCTAAGTCACTACTCAAAGAATATTCTTGGTTACCATGACTATGATTCTTGGTTGTTTCATTCATTATACTATGAATCTGAATATTAACTTGCCTTATCAATAATAGTATTGTAGTGAAAAATTGATAAAAATAAACACAGAAATTTTTATCAACATGAATCAGTAATCACGGAAATGACAACTGCATCACAATATAATTGCGCTTCTGAGAGTGGCAAAAAATTCTTGAAATTTTATCGTTATTCTAGCTATTGCTAGATGCTAATTTAATATCGAAAACTTATATGGCATTAAGTCACCTCATTTTAACCTAGATATTAGTGCATATTTTAGCACTAAAAAAGGTAAAAGACATTTGCTAGATCAGATTTAACATGCCAAAACATGAAAAAAAAAAGGTAGAAATAATCTATTCAAAAATAAATGTTTAGCAAACAAGTTAAGAGAGAAAGTTATAATTAATTTTAATCCCTCAATCCTAATAACGTATATGGTTGTTGGTTGTTAAGTGGACCAGTATTTAATAAGTTGGTGAATTGATATTTCCACTAATCAGTCTAACTAAAAAAAAAAAAAAANAAAAAAAAAAAAAAAAAAAAAAAAAAAAAAAAAAAAAAAAAAAAAAAAAAAGAAGCTCTTTGCTGATAACTAATTAATATAAATAAACCTTTCTATAATTACATGATTTAACGGGGGCATATATTTACTTAAATACAGATCGTAATATTAATTAGTACATATATTAAGAATAAGTACAGAAAATTGCATTTCTTAAGTAAGTATTTATAATACCTTTATTTAAGTAATTAGTTAACGTAAATTTAACAAAAATACTAAAAGTAAACAAGGTAGGACAGGAAATCGCTATTAATTATACCCGTTCAATATTGTAATTAATAATCGATGATAATCAAACATATAATGATGGTTTAACGGGAAGCAATGTATCGATTTTTATTTATAAGTTTTTAGACTAATCAATGATTTAAAATAATTAGTTTATTGTGAAAAAACAAAACTCACAGCTGATTACAGATGAATGTAAATAAAACCTAATTTAACTAGGTGTCTCAACGAAGTAACAAGAGGATTGATAATCAGAGCACGAGAAGTGAGTATAATATCAGAGCGATGAATTTAACTGCAATCAATGCGTTTTTAAATAATAATTGAGAAAAAAATACTGTAATTTTAGACACGACAGCAATACGAAACAAAATGGCAGCCCAGATGATCACGTGATTTTTGTCCCACAGTAGGTTCGACGCATCGGTACAAGCAAACTTTTTAATTGAAGATTTGGGTGTCTTTAAATGTACAGTTTGGTTTGTTTGGGATGAGCATATGCGCCTACACTCTAATGAGAGAATTTTATACTTTACCTTTTACTTGTTTAAAATTATCTCCCTGATCTCATTTATCTCTATTAACTTCAGGAAGTTTTAACTATATTTTGGGACTTCTAGCCCTTATTTTCATTACAAGTTTTATTCACGATCTTTCCCCTGTTTCTGCGGTTTAAACGGCTCTGCAATCCAACCGCGCACACGTTTCTGACTTCAATTGCCAGTTTCTGTTTCTAAAATTTCGCCTTCATTGCAATAATTTCGTCTGTTTATTATTGTTTGTTGTGGTTTCGGTATCCGAATTTTCAAATTTGTACAGCAGTAAGATTAGTATTTAGTTTTAAGCTATTTCTCCTTCTTTTTTAATGGAAAGAATATCAAGGAAATTTTTTCCACTTATTTTTAATATATTTCATATTTTACATTAAATATTGTTACTACCTTAAAATGGATTATCGTTTTATTACTGGCTCTGATACAAAATCAGTAATTAGTGCACAAAAGCTGATCGACATTTGTAATTTTGTGATTACTTCGAAACTCTCGGGTAAGATGAATAACTCCTTAGTAGTACAGCTTAGAGTTTTTTTTAAAAATATATTATACTTTAGATTTTTTGTCTTTCAAATTTCTAACTATATTTAAAAAGTTAATGTTTCCATTTAAGTCCTTACTTTTTTATTGGCCTTAAAATCACATGGTAGGATCCAGTTTTCCCATATAAATTTTCATATCTTTTTCATTATCACCAGCATAAAATTAATAAAAGACAAAAAGGTATTATTTTCCTGTAAAATATTTTTGTATCCTGTAAAATATTTTTATTAATTAATTCGGCTATTATTACGCTTTCTTTTGATTACTTTTTAAATTAAGAGTTTAGAACTAAAAAAGTTGTTTCTTTATTATAATGTTATTCTATTACTTTAATAAACAAGAAATTATACTATTAGGCTACATTATAAGAAAAACTTATTTAAACTGCTGTCTAAATTTAGTAACCTTTTTCCAATTATTATTTTTTGGTGTAAATGAAATTAATATTTTATTAAAAATTACTGTAAAGAGATTCGTTATATGATTTAAAACTTAACGACCACATGCTCAAATTGTATTCAATATGTCAGGCTGTTTGGTAAACGATAATATTAAATTGCGGAAGTGAACTTCCCACTCCAAATTTGATATAACAACATATCTTTAATTTAAAATTTTATTTTAATAAAGTGAAAACAAAGCAAGAAATATTTAGCTTCGTACAGGGGTTTCAAACTTACATGAGGGCGGGGGCCACAAGGCCACAATTAAAAACACAAATCAAATGGCGGGCCGCAACTTTATCAAAATTTTATGTAGGACTCTTTTATGTTTGAAGGAACATTAAATATTACTGTCAGATTTTTACCAAGTTGTACAAAACAAAAGTATTGAATTACGAATTAAAGTAAGAAGTAGATTTTTAAAAATATTTAATTGTTATTAATAATATTTTTAAAAATATTAAATAAATATTAAAAATTCGGGCTACAGTAACTTTAATGTGCACCTATATATTAAACAATTAATGTGCAACAGATATCTAATTGTTAAGATATAAAACTTTAAAAAGGTTGATATTAAAATTTACATAGTAGCACACAAAGTGTTCAATGAGAAAATTGAGGTTTGTCTGTTGCAACCATTAGAGAATAAATATTGACATTTGAAATTTAAAATTTACAAATGTGTGTGTGAATATTTTCGTCCAAAATGAGTGGTTTCAAAAAGCTAAATCGGAGAATTCCTTCGAGAAAATTTCTGATACGCACATTTCAAATTATATTCACAAAATACAAAAAAATGAAATAAAAAAGAGCAACATACACGATTATTTTTGTATTTGAATAAACATTTTTTTGGATGCAAAACCTGATAAATAAATTTTTTTTGCACAGTTGGTATGTTAAATTTCACAGAAACGAAGAAATTAGGTTTTTATTAACGAGAAAAGTATTTTAAACCCATATAGACTTTTTACGAAAATTGTCCGCCAATAAATTTAGTTTTCGGGCCACAAAAAAAAAGGCTTCGCTGACCGAATGCGGCCCCCGGGCCGCCAGTCGGAAATCCCTGCACTAATAGATCTTATGGGAAATAGAATCAATCGAAATCTCTCATGCCATTAACTAATCAAAGTGGGACTCAAAATAAAGATTTAATTTAAAGAAATAAAAATGTTGGTTGTAGAAAGTGAGGGAATAAGCGAGAACAATCAGAAGAGCAGAATTCTTGTACTTATATTTTAAGTGAATAATTTCAACAATTGTAGAGAAACTTTCATGAAAAGAAACAACTATTATTGCAAAGCAATCATCCGGGTTGGAGAGCTGAAACGAACAGGGGGCTTAGGCTCCCATTATAATCTTTAAAATTGTCCTTTTGTACATTTCATTTTTACCCAAGACAAATTTTATGATGGTTTTT